AGACGGGGTTTCACCATGTTGACCAGGTTGGTCTTGATCTCTCGACCTCGTGATCCACCCGCCTCGGCCTCCCAAAGTGCTGGGATTACAGGCTTGAGCCACCGCGCCCGGCCTACATACACATTTTCAATTACAGATGCATTTTCAATCATGTACCACTCTAATTTATTCACATCTCTATTCTTTCATCATTGTAAATAAGCTAATGGATTATGGACACATATAGATACAAGAATGTATGTTCAGGCCGGGCGCAGTGGCTCAAGCCTGTAATCCCAGCACTTTGGGAGGCCGAGGCGGGTGGATCACGAGGTCAAGAGATCGAGACCATCCTGGCCAACACGGTGAAACCCTGTCTCTACTGAAAATACAAAAATTAGCTGGGCATGGTGGCACGTGCCTGTAATCCCAGCTACTCAGGAGGCTGAGGCAGGAGAATTGCCTGAACCCAGGAGGCGGAGGTTGCGGTGAGCCGAGATTGTGCCATTGCACTCCAGCCTGGGTAACAAGAACGAAACTCCTCCTCAAAAAAAAAAGAATGTATGTTCATATATTTAATTTTTTATAAACAGCAAATTAAATTTGTTTCCAATTTTAATAAGCACTTAATGGACCACCTATATGTCCAGCAGAATTTTCTATTGTTTATACCATTTTTCTCTCCATATATTTGTGATTTTAAAGGATCTGACATAAAACCGCATATAAATCAAACGTCAGCAAGGACCATCAATGACCAAGGGATGATAGCACTTTAGCCATTATTACAGCCTAGAGAATAATGCCCTCCTCATCTACTCTAATCGAGAGAGCCCATGCATATTAAATTTAAGAGCAAATGAAAAGCATGTTGCCAGCTACAACACAGCCTAAACATCAGTGTACATCAGAATGACACCAGAAAGCCTTGTTAGAAGCCTTTTATCCCCTCTACTGTTTACTGAATCTTCCTCTTTAACTTTCTCCCTCCCTCTATCCAGGTATATTTTTATCCCCACAGCCTCTCATCCTCCATAAGATATTGGTCACATCTAACTGATTTTCTCTTTTGTTTTGTTTTTTGAGACAGGGTCTTGCTATGTTGCCCAGGCTGTCCGAACTCTTGGGCTCAAGTGATACTCCTGCCTCAGCCTCACAAGCGGCTGGTATTACAGAAGCGTACCACATCCAGTCCTAATTATGTTCATGTATCTGGCTCATCTCAGGTTCCAAATAAAATAAATGTACAGAATTGCACTATCCTCTAGGTAGACATGTTACATACACTCCAACAGTATAGACAGTATAGCCTGGGGAAAGAGATGACCAGTGAATGGGAAAAAAGACTGACTTCATCTGTTCCCCACTCCTATAACTGGAAAAGATCTCTCCCGAATATCTACTATGTTTTTATTCCCCACAGGTGGCTCTTACAAGTGCTGTGAACTATGCCTAAGTACATCTGCCTAATCCCAAAGAGAATAAGGTCCTAGACAGGAATGTCATTCATATATATATATATATATATATATATATATATACATATGGTTTTTTTTTTCCTTTTTGTAGAGAGACAGGGCGTCATTCAGGCTGGAGTGTAGTGGCACAATCATTGCCTCTCACTGAAACCTTAAACTTCTGGGCTCAAGCAATCCTCCTGCCTCAGTCTTCTGAGTAGCTGGGACTACAGGCATCACTACCACATCTGGCTAACGTATTTTATTTTGTAGAGACAGGATCTTGCTACATTGCCCAGGCTGGTTTCAAACACCTAGACTCAAGCAATCCTCCTACCTTGGCCTCCCAAAGTGCTAGGATTGTATGTGTGAGCCACCAGCCCCGGGCCTGGCCTCACGTCTTAAACATATTCTTCAGAACCCCAAGACAGTGTTTTGCAAACAATGGGGCAAGACACATATTTGAATTCATGAATTGCCGAATTAATGTGAATGAAAACAATTAAGGATAGAAAACCAGGAGAGAAAAAAAAAGCAAAGAGAGCACGCCTGTGGTCCCAGCTACTTGGGAGGCTGAGGCAGAAGAAATGCTTGAATACAGGAGGTGGAGATTGCACTTAGCCGAGACTGTGCCACTGCACTCCATCCCAGCGCCTGGCAACAGAGCAAGACTGTGTTTCAAAAAAAAAAAAAAAAAGCAAAGAGAAAAAAGAGAAACTAGCAGAGAGAAAGGAAAAGGAAAGAAAGAGAAGAAACTGAAGGCAATTGTTCTTGTAATAGTGAACAGGATTACAGTATTTTTAAAAATTGAGAGTTGAAAAAGCCATCAATTATGTATCTAGTATCCGTGATCTGCACAAGTATTTAAATTATCATTATAAACACCTTAAAATATCTTTAAAATTAGGCCAGACACGGTGGCTCACACCTGTAATCCCAGTACTTTGGAAGGCCAAAACAGGTGTATCACCTGAGGTCAGGAGTTCAAGACCAGCCTGGTCAACATGGTGAAACTCAGTCTCTACTAAAAATACAAAAATTAGCCAGACGTGGTGGTGCATGCCTGTAGACCAGCTAATCAGGAGGCTGAGGCAGGAGAATCCGGCGGGGGAGGGGAACTCAGAGTAGAGTTCCTCAGGACCTCAACAGCGAGTAGAGATCCTCAGCCTGGGCAACAGAGCAAGACTCACAAAAAGAAAAAGAAAGAAAAAAAGAAAAAAAAAAGAAAATCTTTAAAATTATCTCTCCCCACATTTGATGTTCAAAGTCTGATCTCTGACAGCAAGCATCACCTATCACATATATAGACTTTGGGTTCTACTTCAAACTTACAATATCTTGAGTGAATTATGCATGTTAAAGTTTGAAAAGCACTGCCCTCCATCATTCAGGTCCTTTCTTTTGTACCAAACTTGTTTTGTTTCAGTGGGTCAGTAATTAAGACATGAAAAATCTCTGAACAGGATTTGACCTGCACAGTATTTAATTTCAAATGAAGTTATTAATTATAGTGTAAGTTGGCATATTGGATATACCACAAAATTTGGGAATTAGTCATAAAAATGATTAAATAAAATTGATCAGAAGGTCAATAGCATTCTTAAGAACTCATGTTTGTTCTTTCTCATGTCTAGCATAGGACTTGGAATGAGTCATGTGGCCAGTGTTTCCTGAATGAGCAAAACAAACGAACTTTTAAAAAACCAGAGATATGCCGGGCGCGGTGGCTCAAGCCTGTAATCCCAGCACTTTGGGAGGCCGAGGCGGGTGGATCACGAGGTCAAGAGATCGAGACCATCCTGGTCAACATGGTGAAACCCCGTCTCTACTAAAAATACTAAAAATTAGCTGGGCAGGCCGGGCGCGGTGGCTCAAGCCTGTAATCCCAGCACTTTGGGAGGCCGAGGCGGGTGGATCACGAGGTCGAGAGATCGAGACCATCCTGGTCAACATAGTGAAACCCCGTCTCTACTAAAAATACAAAAAATTAGCTGGGCATGGTGGCTCGTGCCTGTAATCCCAGCTACTCAGGAGGCTGAGGCAGGAGAATTGCCTGAACCCAGGAGGCGGAGGTTGCGGTGAGCCGAGATAGCGCCATTACACTCCAGCCTGGGTAACAAGGGCGAAACTCCGTTTCAAAAAAAAAAAAAAAAAATTAGCTGGGCATGGTGGCGCGTGCCTGTAATCCCAGCTACTCAGGAGGCTGAGGCAGGAGAATTGCCTGAACCCAGGAGGCGGAGGTTGCGGTGAGCCGAGATCGCGCCATTGCACTCCAGCCTGGGCAACAAGAGCGAAACTCCGTCTCAAAAAAAAAAAAAAACAAAACAGAGATATTTAGGGGTGGGATAATCTTGGGGGTCATCTGGTCCAAGAACCTAATTTTAAAGATTAGCAAACTAAAAATTCCGAGAGTTGCAAAAGCAAAGAAAGCTCATAGAGCCAAAATATATTGGGACATTTTAATTCGTTTTGTTCATTTCGTTGGGGAGAAAGGGGACTGTAACTACTAGGATTGCTGACTCTTAAAGATGAAAAGGTACCTAGGAAGAAGAAACTAGCAAGAGTAAATGAGCCTTGGCAAAGCGATTTTTCCAAACCTAATATATTTTTGACGAGCCAATTAAATAATCAATTTAATCAGCCAAAAAAATTAACCTGAAGGTTTCTCAGAAAAGGAGACACGAGCTGCATGAAAATGTTACAAACCAAGGGAGATTGCACATAATTAACTTAAATCTCCACAGGCTTATTTCCTGTTGAAGTATGGCCTTCTGGAGTAAGTTTTACTGCCGTGTTCATTACCAGATGACTTGTGGTTTTAAAAGAGGCCAAGGGCAAGTTAGAAATTTGATTATTAACTAAACATTAAAAATAAAGAAAGAAACTGTGTCTGTTTCCCATTTCTGTTTGTAATCAGAATGCAGGCTTGCGGAGGAAACACAGAAACCCCTGCAAGCAAAAATATAATGACCCAGTCACGTCCTCAAAACAAACTAACACACAAACTTCCCAGCCGGATCCAGCTGTGCTGCCTGGGAGCTAGGAATTTAATTCTAAGACAGATCAGAACGGCGAATGCAAGGGCAGCCACATTTCAATCACAAAAAGGGTGTGCCTTAAGTTTTGGTTCCCTCCCAGTCGCCCGCCGCCCCAGCTTTCAACAAGCAGAAGCCTTTGAAGGAGGCTCGGTGCTATCTCCGTGCGACCGTACTCCGGCGATGCTGGGCGGGGTGCAGGGAGCCAGCTCGCTGGCGGCTCCGCGGGAGGGGTGGGGGCCGGTCCCGAACCCGGGCGGAGGGGCCGCGGGTGATTCACCGGGAACTCCCGGGTCGCGCGACTCGACCGGCGGACGACGCCCAGTGCGCCTCACGTCCCCCGCCCCGGGCCACTCGTGCAGAAGCAGCTCCCGCGTGCCCCCGCTCCCCGAGACGGACCCGTCGGGAAGGAGCCCGGAACCGGGCAGCGGGCGGGCAGCAACCTCTCCCTCCTCAGCCACCATGGCCGGTGCGACTCCCTGCCCGCGCCCGCAGACGGACTTCCTGGAAAGCACCAGGCTGGGCTTACCTGACTGGCTCCCGCAGGCGCCGCCGACCTCTTCTTCACAAACCCACGGAAACTGCCGGCCGCAAGTCGAGGGTCGGTTCCCAGCACCCGCCCGTCCGCCCGCTTCGGCCTCCCAAGGAGTTGCCGGACCCACCCGCCAGCAGCTCCCTCACTCGACCGCCCGTCGGTGCCGCGGTGCCGCCTCCACCGCCAACGCGCGTGCGCACTCCCAGGCCGCGGCGCATTCGGGGAGTTGTAGTAGGAGCGAGGAGGGCGAGGCTCAGCGCTGACCCTGGTCTTTACAATGGGCAGAACGCAGGAAGGGGCTGCGAATACCAAGCCTTACCCCAGTGTAAGACAATGGTCTTTACTCGTGGAGGTACCTACTGTGGGCTTCCCGGAAGCTGGAAATCCTGGCTCTTCGGAAAAGATTTCCTTTTTACTTTGACCTTTCGTAAAGAAGCATACACGGCAGGGCTTGTATTGTAGCCTTCGTTGTTAATGCAAGAACACAACATTGGGCCTTTTAAACTGGTCATGACAGTTATGCAAAAGTAAAGGAATAAAAGCTAAAGCCCAAGTGAGGCATAAATCATGCGGATGTCCTCTCCAGGGTGTGGTGACCCTAGTGGTTTCCTTAGGTATGCAACCGGGGATGATGTCGCAACTATTGCAGGGCAGTATCTGCATATCCTGTCTTCCCATTCCATCTTCAAGCTCTACACTAGGCTGTGGACTGGCTGCTGTGAGTGGGAGAAAAAACAGAAGCGGCTGCTCAAGGGAGGGATTGGGGCAGACAGGTAGTCTAGAGGGAAGAGGAAGAGTGTGGGAACCTCTCAGAGGACTGTTTGATAGTGGCCTATGTAATCGCTACCTTTTGTGCGAGGCTCTGACTACAGGGAGCTACGATATTTTTCCATGCATTCATTTAGTCGCTTACTGGGAATTGTCCTGACCTGCTCTTCAGGAGTAGACAATCCCAGGAGTAATGCTAAGCTTTGACACACCTTTCAAAAATAGAGCCAAGGAAGTGGACTGACGTGCCTGCTTGAAGTACATTCCAGCTACACCCAGTATGGGAGCCACTTAATGGTTTAAACCTCTCCTGGCATCCACTTTTTCCCCCTCAGAGGAGGGGACACCCTAGGTTAGGTAAACGTCCTGAAATTTCATGCAACTGCCACCCATAATTTCAGCAATAGAGATCACTGATGGTTTGGTTTTTTTAAAGGAAAAAACTCTGCTTCACCCCCACCCCGCCAGACGGAGTCTTGTTCTGTAGCCAGTCTGGAGTGCAGTGACAAGATCTCAGCTCACTGCAGGCTCCGCCTCCCAGGTCCAAGCAATTCTCCTGCTTCAGCCTCCCCAGTAGGTGGGATTACAGGCATGCGCCGCCACACCCAGCTAATTTTTTGTATGCTTATTAGAGACAGGGTTTCACCGTATTGGCCAAGCTGGTCTCGAACTCTTAACCTTGTGATCTACCTGCCTCAGCCTCCCAAAGTGATGGGATTACAGGTGTGAGCCGCTGCACTGGCCAGGAAAAACCCCTTCTAAATTGCAAATACTTAGAGGACAGTCAACACTCAGACTTGTGGCCATTGCATTTTATTTTCTATATCATCTTTGGGTCAATCTCTTGGAGAAAACAGCTTTCTGAGAGCAATTTCCTACCGAATTCAGGTTTATCTGAATGTTTATATTTATAATACATACCAACCACTGGGCCAGCACTTCATTTGTAATATCTCATCTAATCCTCAAAACGAATCTAATCCTCATAACTCTATAAAGAATAAACTAGCATCCTCCATTTCTATAGATGAAAAATGAAGACTCAGAAAAATTAAGTCATTTGTATAAGGTCCCACAGCCAGTAATTGGAGATCCAGAAATGAGACACAGTTCTCTTGACAAGTTCTTTTTTCTTTCTCTTTCTTTTCTTTTCTTTCTCCTGGGCTCCAGTGATCTTCCAACCTCACCTGAGTAGCCTGAGCAGCTGGGACTATAGGCATATGCCACCACACCCACCTAATTTTATTTATTTATTTATTTATTTTTGTAGAGACAGGGTCTCCCTATGTTGCCCAGGCTGGTCTTGAACTCCTGGGCTCAAGGAATCCTCCCACCTTGGCCTCCCAAAGAATTGAAATTATGGACATGAACCACCATACCCAGCTGATATGGTTTATTTTAAGAAGGACTTTCCTCTGCAATATGACCTCTTTTGCTTTGGTCAGAGAGGTTTTTTAATTGAGTATCTGACTGACTTAATCTATTACACTTTTCCTCTCTCACCTTCTACTATGGGCTGTTAGGCAAACACTAAATATATTTCCTCTTTTAGCTATTCATTTCAAGTTTTGCCTAAGGAACAAACCTCTTATTTTAGTTACTTTTTCTAAAATAATGCAATTTGATGTTTTCTGTTCTTCAGACATAAATTATCATGTTTTAAACACAAAGCTTATAAACATGAATCTCTTAAATCTGTGTGCATTGAATAGCACATATGGGGCCAGAGATATTAAGAATAAGATCTTAGTCTTGGATAGCGCTGAAGAGGTAGAACCTTCCTTACTTTTTCCACTCCTTTGCTGCAACATATTCTCTATATTAGCAGCCAGAATGACCTTTTTTTTGAAATGGAGTCTTGCTCCGTCACCCAGGCTGGAGTGCAGTGGCATGATCTAGGCTCACTGCAACCTCTGCCTCCCGGGTTCAAGCAATTCTGCCTGCCTCTGCTTCCCTAGTAGCTGAGATTACAGGCACCTGCCACCACGCCCAGCTAATTTTTGTAGTTTTTTAGTAGAGACAAGGTTTAGGCATGTTGGCCAGGCTAGTCTTGAACTCCTGACCTCAGGTGGTCTGTCCACCTTGGTCTCCCAAGGTGCTGGGATTACAGGCATGAGCCACTGCGCCCAGCCCAGAATGATCTTTTAAAAACAAATCAAATCATGTCACTGTCTTGCTCCAAACCATTCATGGCTTCCATCACATTTAGAATAAAACCCAAAATTAACACCTCCACAAATCTGTACATGATTGTTTTGTTTCCTACCATGTATTCTCTCTGACTCTGCTCCAGTCATACTGGCCTCCTTGAGGGTTCTTAATCCTGCCAAGTTTCTCCCCATCTCAGAGTCTTTATGCTATGCAGGAGAATGATTTTCCTCGCAGCTGCTTCTGGCTCATGCCCTCATTTTAATGAAAGTTCTGTTCAAATGTCACCTCTGAAAGGCTTCCTCTTATCATCTTACCCTGTCATTCTCTCCTGTTTTTACTTGTCTTCATAGCACTTTTACATCCTAACATCATATTACTTGTTTCCTTAGTGGAAGCTCGACAAGCTTTGCTTTGTTTACTCCTCCATCCCCCTAACATCCACAATACTGCCGGCACACAGTAAGTATTCAATAAATATTTGTAAATAAATGAATGTTGGATTCTTCCTTCTCTCTCCTAATCTTAGGACACAGAACCAGAAGGTTCACCTGTAAATGCCAGCCAGTGACCTGATTCAGCTATAAACTCCAGCAGCAAGAGGGTTGACTAGACAGGAGAATAAGATCCTGTGAAAGTTCTGAAATAGGCTGGGCGCTGTGGCTCATACCTGTAATCCAAGCACTTTGGGATGCCAAGGCGGGTGGATCATGAGGTCAAGAGATGGAGACCATCCTGGCCAACATGGTGAAACCCCATCTCTACTAAAAAACTACAAAAATTAGCTGGGTGTGGTGGCATGCACCTGTAGTCCCAGCTATTTAAGAGGCTGAGGTAGGAGAATTGCTTGAACCTGGGAGGCGGAGGTTGCAGCGAGCCGAAATCGCACCACTGCACTCCAGCCTGGTGCCTGGCGACAAAGCAAGACTCTGTCTCAAAAAAAAAAAAGAAAGAAAAAGAAAAAGAAAAATGAGACAGAGCTCTTTTTAAAGAACAGCACAAGTTAGGATTGCCACTATTCACTTACAGTTGGAAACCTAATTCTTGGAGGAAAACAAACAGGAAAAACCTGGAAATTATATTTACGTAAATAAGTGAAAAGGTAAGTCCACTTAAATACTTGTGGTAGATTGAAATATTGCTCCCAAATATTTGCTGTCCTCTAGAGGAATAGACAGGCTTGCCCACTACTGTGTGACTTCCAGTGCTGCCCTGTAGGCATTTCAGGCTTGGCTATGATCCCATGATGGGATTTTCCTCTTCTCTTCAGATAAATGTCATATTGGGTAATCACAAAGTTTAAAAACGTGTATCTTGCTTTGGTCAATAAAATGTAAGTGGAAGTGACAATCTGACCGTTCTGAGTGGAAGCTTTAAGAGTCACTGCCTTTCTCTGCTAGTGTGCCTGCTCTTTCCCTCCACCAAGAGAAAGGCATGTTCTGAATAGAGGCTGGTCATTCTACCTGGATTCTAGAATAAGAAATCACGTGGGTCAGAGCCTCAGCCACTAGCTGACTTAACATAACGTGAGCAAAGAGGAAACTGAAGTTTAGGTTCATTTGTTACTGTAGAGTTACTTAGCAAAAGCTGACTACTATAGTGCCTAATGAAGGAAACATAACGATGTGAACTAGAAGTGGTATGGCACACCCAACCTTCTGCATTTAACCCACTTCAACTAATAGAAAACAGCTGAAGTTCAATACACCAAAGAGAACAAATCTGAGACCTTCAGGTAAAATATCTGAACAAGGGACAACGTATAGTTCCTATCAGTGTTCAGGGTTTGGTGAGAGCGAAAGTGATTGGTAAAATGACACTCTAACTCTATTTAATGTACTAATATTATAAGCTCTAATTAGCGTTCTCTCTAAACTTCCAGCCAGAGTAACTCAGAAAGCATGTCACACTGAATCATCATATGCTAATTAATAATAGCAACACTTTTCTTGTTATCAAAGGGTTCCTTTAGGAAATAGTTACTTTGGCATATGTAAGCATATTTTGTGTGTACGTAAAAACGTGTATTTTAGGCCGGGCGCGGTGGCTCAAGCCTGTAATCCCAGCACTTTGGGAGGCCGAGGCCGGTGGATCACGAGGTCGAGAGATCGAGACCATCCTGGTCAACATGGTGAAACCCCGTCTCTACTAAAAATACAAAAAATTAGCTGGGCATGGTGGCGCGTGCCTGTAATCCCAGCTACTCAGGAGGTTGAGGCAGGAGAATTTCCCGAACCCAGGAGGCGGAGGTTGCGGTGAGCCAAGATGGCGCCATTGCACTCCAGC